AATAAATATAACAAATAAATATGTTATAATGTATTATAATGTATTATGATGTAATATAATAAAATACTAGAATAAAATATAATTAATATAATATAATATAATATATAATTACTTTTTCCAGGAGTTGGAGTACAATAATCTTTATGGGTCCCTTCCAACTCAGGTTATTCAACAAGTCTATAATATTATTATTATTATTATTATATATGAGTAATAACTTCAGCTTTGCATAAATCTTTCTTGCTTGGTCACCTACTTTTTCAACCTTCTTAACTGGTATTTTACAAACAAACAAAAAAAAAAAAGACAGCAGCAGGTGGCATCTTGTTACAGATAGAAAGTAGAAAACCAGTTGTTATTAAGCTCCTGTATTCAATCTTTAGCCACTACTTCCTCTTTGTCACCTTCTCCCAGTCTTTGACACCTGGAGAGAAGCATTCACTTCAGCAGAAAGTAATTTTCCTTTCCTGCTTTTGCTTTCTTTTTTTTTAAAGAAAATGCCCCAAATCAAGGCAATAGCTGGTGCAGAAAACAGGAAAAACACCTCTCAGAGAAGCTAAGAAGCTGTTTAGGGCATTTTTTGCTGATGCTCTCAGGGTTCAGTTTTGACTGTGATAGATAATTTCTTAAATCCAGGGTGGAACTTGTGGTGGATGCAGAGCTGGAATTTCAATCTGTCTCCCACCTGGAGGTTACATCCTGCAGCCACCTGCAAGGGCTGAGCAGCTGGGGAATGATTCACTGGAATAACAGAATCATGGAACGGTTGGGTTGGAAGGGACCATCTCTTTCCACCCCCTGCCATGTTCAGGGACACCTTCCACCATCCCAGGCTGCTCCAAGCCCTGTCCAGCCTGGCCTTGGACACTTCCAGGGATCCAGGGGCAGCCACAGCTTCTCTGGGCACCCTGTGCCAGGACCTCCCCACCCTCAGTCAGGAATTTCTTCCTCATCTCCAACCTAAATCCACCCTCTGTCAGTTTGAAGGCATTCCCCCTTTCCTGTCACTCCATGCCCTTGTTAAAAAGTTCCTCTTTAGGTACTGGGAGCTGTAAGGAATCATAGGAGAAACTGGAAGGAGGAAAGCCTTGGAGCTCCTGGCAGATGAGCAGCAGACCCTGGCAGGTTGGTCACAGCCCTCAGTCACCTGCACACCGCACACAGCCACAACTGCTGGCAAATTCCCAGGGTTTTAGGAGCCTGCACAAAATGGTAGAGGGAATAAAGCTCAAAGTACATGGAAAGTACTTTTGAGAGAATTCTGAAAGTACATTTTTTCTAAGTACATACAGGACTCCTCCTGTGTGCTTTGAAGAGTTCTCAGCATTGCAAGGGCTGCAAGCAGTTCTCAATTCTTGCTTACTTGCAACCAAAATAAGAAACCCCCCTCCTTAACCACCCAGGAAAATCCAGAGTGTCTGTGTTAGTCATGACTTAACAGCCATAAAAAAGGACCCATTTCAGTTCAGCTGTGACACTGTTCAGATAAATGGTGTTCAAGATGCCCCTGACACAGGCATGGCAGTTTTTAAATCAAGTCATGATAGACAGTTTTGTGTTGTAAAATTTTCCCCACAGAAAATTTTCTCCGTCACAGAATCCCAGAATGGTTTGGGTTGGAAGGGACCTTCAGGACCACCTCTGCCATGGGCAGGGACACCTTCCAGTGGCCCAGGTTGCTCCAAGCCCCATCCAGCCTGGCCTTGAGCAACTGTGTGTGTTTGTATTTTGTAGACAAAGCAAAACAAGCATTAGAACATTCCCCTTGAAAAGGAAATAGATAAACAACGTAACCATTTATTTTGACTGCATTGTATTTAGACAACTTGTACATTTTGTAACCCCACTGGTTTTGTTCTCATCAAAAAGGATAAAGGGACAGAAGAATATAATCCACTCAAAACAGCAGTCCAGTATTTTGAGATACACTTGCTATTTTCATAGATGCCCACCTGATACCTGAACTCCAACATAGGTTGCAATGTTTATACAAGACCTGAAGTTTTTTCAACACAGCACTGAGTTGTAGCAATGTCTTGCAGTGCCCTGAAAAATAGTTTGTGACATACTCTGCAACACCAATCTGATGATGCCTTGAAGGTGATGAACCTGATCATTTCTTAAAAAACAACATAATGAATGCAAACATCCAGACCGACATGTCAGCCAGTAGCAACATTTGGGCAAATTTAAATATAAAAGCAATCAACTCCTTAGTTAGATTTGTCAATGCAAAAAGGCGAGGGGGAGAGAACTGTGTTTAGCAAGAGACAGGAGAAATAACCAACTTTTCCTTGCTAGACTCCTTTTGAAAACCTATGCAAATTCAAGGCTTCCCACTTGATTTCCTAATCCCAAGCAGCACAGAGAACAAATCTGTTTGGCAGGACCCAGCACATGCAGCTCAGTGTCTCCTGCAGTGAACTGTGACACAGCAGCCATGGCAGAACCTTTCAGGCCACATGCTCTTTGAAAAACAAAAAAACAGAGATCTACACCTATTTTGCTCAGTATTTTCAACACAGGCATGGCAGCAACCACTTCTTACAATAACCAACCAGAATTGCATTTGAAGTTTGCTCCAGAGGGATGTTTTTTGGCAGTGAGGAGGGATTTCAGCTCACTTGCCAGTCGGCTTTTGAATCTGAAGACACCCACGGCTTAAATATTAACCAATAGAAAACTTGTCTGTCTGGCTTTGCAGACTGAAACCCCAGCAAGACACACAAGGCAGCCCAGTTTGCAATCTGTGAAACAAGCCCAAGAGCTGCTTGCAAGGTCTGAAACCTCCCTGATCCAGCTCCAGGGCAGTCCCTACATGCTGGACCACAGCTGAGGGAAACCTGACTCAAGGGATTGGCGACCAACGTTGAAGCCTTAACACTGATGAAAACTGCTGAAAAGCCACCCAGAAAAACTGGCAGCCCTGAGGGAGCAGGGTAACAAGAGGTTTTATGGTGTCACACAGGCTTTAGGATGAGCTCCAGCACGTCCTGGGAGTAACAGACCCCACTTCCAACATTTGTCTTGGGCACCCTTTTAAGGATGAGTTTTCTTTACTGAGGGGAACAGAGCCCCTCGACAGCACAGATGGTGTCTCTACAAGCAGAAAACTCAGCAGGGCCAGCTTCCATTAAAAATCTTTATTTTCAAATACAACTCATGATTTGTACATGGCAAGAAACGTCCATCACCATGTGCGATTGGTCTGTGCAAAAGGCGGCTTTGCTCAAATCCAGTTTTCCTGCACAGGGCTCTTTTCCAAATGATACTGGAGGTAGGGGTTTTGTTGGTTTTGTTTTTAGTGTACAGTAATTAGCAAAAATGAAAACAAACAAAAAAAAAACCCTAACAAACCCCATGACTCAAACCAAAGTTTAAAAAGGAAAAAAACCAAAAGTGAAGTAAGGCAAATCTGGAGAATTCGCTCGGTTCCATGAGAGTGGATTCATTGCCCCTAACAGACCCCATGACTCAAACCAAAGTTTAAAAAGGAAAAAAACCAAAAGTGAAGTAAGGCAAATCTGGAGAATTCGCTCGGTTCCATGAGAGTGGATTCATTGAGAGTTCATCCTTTTGATCCCTGTAAGGACCATTCACCTCAGAGCTGGACTTGATCCTGGTGGGTCCCTTCCAACTCTGAATATTCTGAGATCTCTGATTACAGAGGTGCTTCCACAAGTCACCTAATACCTTTATTCTTGTCTTTAAAAAAAAAAAAAAAAAACCAAACAAAACAAAAACCCCGAAAAAACCAAAATAAAAAGACACCCCCACAAAACAAAACAAACAAAAAAACCACCCAACCCAACTGATTCATAGACCTGGGCTATGGAATCACACGGAACAAGAAAGCCTTGACGCTGTCATTACTGAAAAAATTGATGGGTATTGGTAAAACCTATGCAAGCCCAAATAAAGAAAGGAAAAAAAAAAAGAAAGAAAAACAGAGCAAGAATGAATGCAAGAAAGAGAGACAGAATTCCTTCCCCGCTGCTTTGATTTTAGAGGGGGAAAATTCCCCCAATAATTTAGCTCATGTAAGTTGAGAAAATGAGAGCAGCTGAAAATGAATATGATACACCTTGAAATTCACTTCCAAGACCAAGAACCAAAGACTGAAGCATTTTAGAACACTGAAGCAAAGCAATCTGAATCTGAAAAAAAAATTGTTCCAACTATCTTAAAATAGCTGTTTCTCAGAGCTTCTAGCAATAATTTTGATTAAATAAAAATCATACCAATTTACATTAATTTTCTGTATCTTCTTCTTTTAAAAGAAGTCCCTCACTCTTTTAATGACAAAAGTGCATCCAAACCCAGCAGAGATTCACTGGTGGCACCAGGTTCTTTTAGCAGCTACTCAAGGTTTTCAAAATAGCTTACACTTCGAGCTTTAAGAAGGGCCTTCCAAACCCTTGTTTGGGAGAAGTATCCGAATTATAAAAATCTGAAATAATTTATTATCAAATCCAGAATTGAAATAAAAGCAGGTTTTGTTTTTTTTTTTTTTCTTGCAAAGACAACTGAAGAAAGTAAAAGAATAAAAGCATGCACTCCAAACTTAGAGGTGAAGACAAATATACTTATCTATACAGGCACTGGCAGACGCAATTTAATGGTTACTTGTTGTAACACACACCCCACCCTACAATACATTTTTTCATTCACTAATCACTGAGGTACCAATATTTAAGAATGGAAAAATTCAATATTGAAAAATAAAACCTAAAATTGAAGCCTTTTTTTTTCCTTTTTCTTCTTCTTCCCCAGAAAACTATGGCAATTTTTGTATGAAATGTTAGTATACTTATAGAATTTTACAATCTACATTGGCTTTATTTTGAATTTTCGGGAACCAAAAGCGGCGTTCCCATCCAGGTTTTCTCTGCTAAAACGTTCACTGTGTGGATGTCCTAAAGAGTCAGCAGACTTGCAAATGAATGAACATATCTTGGCTATCACCTGGCACATCTGGCTGGTACCAAAAGGACTCGGAGTCTGAGACAATCGGCTTTAATTCGGAACAAATGCGCCATGCCAAAGTGCAACGAATGTGTGCGACACTCAATGGGACACTGACAGGTTTAAGAGCTGCATGGAAAGTACTAAAAGTCCACCTTGCAAAGCAATTTGGGACAAATTGCATTGCATGCAAAGGACAACTCTGCGCTGCTGGGACGTCGCTTGCTGGCTGGGATGGGGTCTCCTAACGCAGCCACAGTTTCAGACGCAGGGCATCCACTCCATTTAAATAGTATCTGAACAGCCTCTTGTCTCGCACAAAACCAAGGTTTTCATAAAGTTTCAAAGCAGACTTATTTGTGATTTCTGTTTCCAATACAACCTTTAAGGGAGAAAAGAAATAAAAAGAAAGAAAAAAAAGCGTGTCGTGTTAGTCGGCAGTGGCAAGTACACGATTGCTGAACCAATTCCAAAGGTTTATTTAAAGGTATGGTTGTTACCAGTGAATGGAATTAATTTCTTCTTATCTTTACTTAATTAAGCAATATTTCCACATTAAGCATCCATTTCCACATTAAAAAAAAATATATAATATAGCAGTTCATCCACAACTGTAATTGTAAACAACGTTCAAGATTTTAGTTCTTGGCTGTAAACAGTATTTCAGTTCACCACCTCAAAACAAGGGTAAAACACACATCAACAAACAAATCCCAAACATCCTCCCCCAAAACCCAAGCTACCAAACAGGTTAGGGTCCAGAACATATTTTGAGTGAGTAACTGAACTTCTACATGTCACAAGAACTTGGCACTTGAGGATTAAATGATTTAATATCTTTGACCCCTGACTCCTTGGAGTTACATGTAGATAAAAGCTTTGACACCAGCTGTGGAACCCAACATTTGCAGTGAATATCTGTGCTCAGCACAAGAATCACAGAGTGCTCTGGGTTGGAAGGCACCTTCAAGATCATCCAGTTCCAACTCCCTGCCATGGACAGGGACACCTTCCACTATCCCAGGTTGCTCCAAGCCTGATCCAACTTGGTACCAGCAAATACCCTAAACCCAAATCACAGTGCACACCAGAAGGACAAGCAGAGTTTTCCATATTTTTTCCCCCTCTGTTGGTAAGATCTCAGTTGCAGAAAGACCTGCCAGAAGTAACTCAGACCAAACCCAAGTCCAACTGTAGCCCAAATAAAGACTCAAAATTGTCTCAGAACTCTCAAGCACAGGCAAAAAACTACACTGGCCTTAACAAGCCAACTTCACAAAACTTCAGAATTTTGCAGAGTTGTTTCTCTCTCTCTTTTCTCCACATGCACTGAACAGAGTTCTGCCATAACTGACAAGCCCTGCATCGCCTCCATGCAATAAAAACTAACTCTGCCTCTTGACTGGTGTCCAACTCAATAATTTAAGGTTCTGCTGTTAGCAAGAACAGAGACTGAACTAAAAAAGCCTGGGCTCCATACACCCCTGGCAGTGAACACCCACATATTAAACTGGAGCTGATGGTCACTGTAGAAAGACCATAGAATGAAAACAGAGGACCAAATATCAGCCTGGATTTGTAAAGCAGTTACAGTCCATCTACTTTATGGCTTCTGTGGCCTCCCTCCCTTCAGGCACACATTCCCACTTCCTTTCCCCCTGGCCTCTCCTGCCAGCTCTCAAGGCTTGTCCCTGAGCTCCTTCCAAAGCCACCTGGAAGAAAACCTTTCCCTTTTCTCTCCACAGGGTTTGTTTTCTGCAGTCTGAGGAGCGGCTAGGCCAGTGTGAAAGGAGGAGGCAGCCAGTGGTTAGAGTGGCCTGAAACTTGAGTCAAATATATACATTAAAAGTATTTTAAAATCTTATTGGACACCTCCAGTCTAACCTCTGGCTGCCACATTCCAATGGGCAATTCCACCTGTGTTTCTCAGTGTAAGCATGTTGAAAGAACAATAAAGCTGGGGATAACAACCCAGTGAAGAATATGAGACTTGGAAACAGTTAGTTTTACAAAAAGGAACTAAGAGTCACACATTGAAATATTAATCATCAGAGTTCTTAAATTACAGCAGGGCAGTGCTGCAGCTGAACACTTAAGACAACCTAATTCAATTCTTAGTTTTGTGACAAGAATGAGAGATTGAATTTCTCTGTTTGGCACTTCCCAGAACATTACTAGCAAGTCCTGTGGGCTGATGGAGTACTCCTAACATCCTTCATCCATTAAAATGGGTAACTATCCGTCTGTAAGAAATTATGGGAGCACCATCATTTTGCTGGAGAAGGCTATTTTCTACACATTGTACAACTCCCTAATTCCAATTTAAACAAAACATTGACGCCAAAGAAGGAATCTGACCTGTGCAGAGGATTATTTATTTGAACTCTCAGCTACCAAGGGCATTCACTCTCTCTAAGGTTCAGTAACCTGGCAGAGTGATGTAACAACTCTCTATTCAACTGCAAGCACCAACACCTGCCAATGCTAAAACACTTCCAGCACTGCAGGTGATTGAGCTGAAGGGAGTGGTTAAATGTTGAAATACAGGTTTGTTGGAATCCCACTACCTGAGTGAATGCTCATCTTGAAAGCAAATGCAAGAGATTTGCTCTGGTATTTCTAAGGAAGTCTCAGCACAATGAAAAGTAATTCCCTGATCTCAACATACTGCAGCAGAAGACATGTTCCTGTTATCTGAAAAGGAAACACAGGCATATTTTATTCAGATTTCATTAGCTTCCTTTGGTGAAGAATGCATCTCTTCCTGTGTGAGCTTTTCAATCAAGCTCCAAACCTTCAATTGTTACATTTATTTCTGCTCTTGTGGTCGATTTTGTTGTGCACATATGCCTGTTAAATCCTCTGATAACACAGCAACACCCCCCCCGAAGGGCAGCAAAGCTCTGATTAGATTTAACAGCGTTTTCTGCTCAAGTTGCAACTTTCTGAAGGTTGTGACATTCTCTTTTATCTTAAATTTCATAAACCAAAAATTTTAGCTCAACTCTAACATTAACTGGGTTTAGAAGCAAAAAGATTTCTATATTAAGAGTGGAGTGCAATATTCCTTGTTGCTACATTTTCACACCTTTAATTTATTCCTGAACTGAAGCCAACTGGAGTGGTCAAGCCTTCTTGCTTCTTCAGCTCAAACTCTGGAAGGAACTCAAGTTTAAAACCCAAGTCATGGAATGGATACAGCCAAATCAAATGAAGAAAGTTGTCTCAGCACTCACAGAGGAGGTTGCTATTCTTACTTTCAAGTCTGACAGATCATCAGACTCAAGAGAGGTTGTCCAATGTCCTTAATCAATTTAACTGCCTCAACTTTCAAAGACAGGCACTACCCAAAATTTAAAGTTCGTACTTTTTATGTTTTGTAGATTAAGGAGAAACTAAAAATATCAGTAATGTAATGATTTCAAATAGGATTCCATAAAAATACACATTTCATTTTTACTAGTGTGGTGCTGAATTGAAATGACACACCTACTAGTGTGGTCAAAATCCCCACTCTAAATCACCCTGAAGTTCCAATGGGAAGTACCAGGAGAATCTGTGGTTCCCTTTCATGTTCTACATTTTTTATTTAGAAAAGGTCTTTGAAGTCCAACTTACTGGAGTCTGATTTTCATTATTCACCATTAGTTACCGATCCATTCACTTCATATTACTGAAATACTATATTATTTATAATGTATATTATATATATTATTTATAATATATATTATATTTCATTTATAATATATATTATAAATGTTACTGTATCTATATATATATATACATATAATGGATGCAGATTCCTCAGTCATTTGTTACAGATGGAAAACCTGCATATGAACAACTCCTCCTTTCTACTTGTAATTAAGGGATGTAACAGTTCCACAGGATGGTCTTCAGCTGTGGAGGTTTGGGAAACTACTTGCCAGCAAAAACAGTACAAAAAGCAGCCAGACACCCACCTTGCTGCAGTCAGCACATGCTTTTCTTTTTTAAACTGGAAGAAAAATACTTCCAAAACTTTGGAGCTGAAAGTAGAACTATTCACCTTCACCTGATTTATTTCCATAGTTCCCCTTTTCTATGCAACCAGCCCAGAGTTATCCTAAATCACTGTGATCCACCGGAAACTCAGCCCAGTACAGTTCACTACCCCAAATATCAGAATTCATGAACATCAAATACTTGAGAAAGTCACAAAGGTAAAAAAAAAAAAAACCCCACAAATCAGAGATGCCTAAGTTTTGTAATGTTATATGCAGACAGTCCAGCTGGAAGCTGCTGTGTGAGTGCTTTCTCCAGGCCTGAAGGTTATTTCTGGTTCAAGCACCCACCCCCAACAGCAGATCACTTCCCTGGTTTCTATTCTAATGTAGGCCATGGCCAGCTCCATGGCCAGCTCCTCCCCTGCACACAGATTCCATTCCAGTCAATTCACCTCCTCACTCACTCACTCCACAGCTTTCCCAGGGAAAATCTTCCACACCCCTGAGGAAGACTCTGCCTCTCAGGCAAGGTGCTGACCATTGTAAACCACTCATTCCATAGGCCTGCCTTGGTTTATTCCTACTAAAACAGCCCACAGGGGAAAAAAATGTCCTTAAACACCAGAACATTGCAGCAGGCTTTGAAATGCCACCTATCAGCTGTGATTTGTCAAGATTTTCATCTGTGGTGTTGTATAAATCCTTTGTTTTTCAGGACTCAGTGCTGGTACCTCCAAAGCCAAATCTGTGATACTTTGAAAAGCAACACACTGAGTGAGGCATTTATCAGATTATATGCCACAAATTATTAAAATTAAGTCTATTTACTGCATCTATTCCGTAATTAGATTGAAGGGAAGAGTTTCCAAGCAGCCTTTGGAAATTTTTCACAACACCCACAGCTGCATATTCATGTTTTTAATCCTATTCCAAGCAAGTTTCAGAAAATAGCATTTTGTTTTTAATTGCACTCCATCTTATCTCAAAAAGCAGTATCTTTTTATTTTCATCAGGATTCTGATTTCATTAAAAGATGTAGAAAAATGCCTTAAAACCTGCAGGGATGATTATTTCTACGCCTCACACAGACAAATTATTGTGATGCACTACTTTGTGTTTGATGAGCTTTAAGCATCAATTAATCAGAAACTGATCTCCTGACAACTGTTGTGAAAACTGGTGAGACCCAAGAGTTGGGCAGAGCTTTTCATGGGTGCCTAGTTAGATTTTTCAGATTCTGATCTGACTGAAAGCTCAGCACTCCATCATGTAGTACAAGTAACAAACATCCTTATTTTGCACCATTTTGGGTATGTGGAAGAAGCCTACTTGGTGGCAAAGGAAAAAAAAAACCAAAAACCATGAGAACATTGGCTGCTTGGTTGTGGATAACCTATGTTAAAGAAAAACATAAATAAGTGTGGGTATGCCTCAGCTGATGGTGCAGAAAAATAATCAGTAAAATTCTGCTTGTATTCCATGCTCCCTAAAGGGCTCCCACTTTAAAATTTAGTGCCAGCACAAGACTCAGCTGGTGCAAAAACTCCCAAAAAGCAGAGGATGAGTTTGGAATAATCATTCTAGAAACAGCAGTTCCAAAACCATGGCTGCCCCCATCCAGCACACAATTCAAGGAGTCTGAATTACAGTGCCTTTGAATAAAGGGAATCTGAGAAATGCCCTCTGCCCCTGGTCCAAAGCATTTATACAGCACCAGAGAGGAAAATCTGTGACTAAGACTTAATGAGACCTCACTGCAGACCTGCAACCCTTAACCACATTTATTTCATGTTTATGGAGATTAAAAAAACAGCAAAAAGGGATCTTGGATTAATGTAACAGTGGTAGAGGAAAAAGACAGACACAGAAGAGGTTACTGTTAGAGGTCACCTGTTAGATAGTCCAATCTAGAAATGAATTTACATGAGTAGCACACAGACATTCAGAAATTATACAGTAATTACTGCAACTCAGAGCTTGAGTAGAAACATCCAGTTCTAGTCCTGACTCTCTAATAACAGTGGGTAATTCACTTCCCTTCTCTGCATCTCACTTCTGCAGCTGTGGTGTGAACACTGTAACCCTGATCCTCAAGTATTTTGCAATTCTTTGAAAATCTTGACTAGTCTAGAAATGGGAAATCAACCCAAAACCATAGTGGAAAGCAATGGGGAAAACAAACCAACCAACCTCTTGTTCATTAGTTCAGTGTAGACAAGTAGTAAAAGAGATTAGAGGAAAGCATTTTAGCAACCAGGATAGAAGCAAGAAGCCAAAATAAAGAACTTAAAAGCATTACAGACTGCACTGTACTGCCCAACTACAACATAAATCAGAAGGTGAGGGGGAAGAAGACAGCAGCAAGCAGAGGCATGAAGGGATCTGAGAGGAAGAATAAATCTCCCAATGAATGAAGCCAGAGCACAGGCAGGGATGCTGCAGGAAGAGAAACACAACAAGTGGAAAAATAAACTGGAGTGTGTGCCAAAAGTGCTGTGACACCAATTGTAGCTTTGCATAAGAAACTTCCCCACGGGGCAGTGGGACAATGGAGGGAGCAGTGGGACAATGCAGGGAGCAGCTGAAGTGAGATAACAGAGAGATCAAAGGCTCATTAACTGTGACACTGAAATGACAGTGCTCACACATCAGGAACAACTGCACTGTGCCAAGGAGCTGGAAGTTAAAGGGACAGATAACCCGGTTAAGGAGGATGGATGGATGGATGGATGGATGGATGGAGGAAGAGTTCCTCACAAGTTAAACAAGGCATATAACAACAGAGTTGCTTTAGGTATATATTTATATTCAAAAAAAAAAAAAAAAAAAAAAAAAAAAAAAAAAAGCAGCAGGAATTGTAATCTGGTGAAAGAGTAACAACTTGTAGGGCAGGGAAGTTTGCCAGTGCTTCAGTCACTCTCCCTGCATGTCTGTGTTGCTGTGCTAAACCCACTGCAGCCCTGCCCTGTGCAGTGTCAGAACAGCCTGATGAGTGGCTGTGATAAATCCACATTCTGCAGCAGCACAGCACACACTGTTCTGTGCCTGGCTGTACTCTGAAGGGCCACACAGGACACGCTCATCCCACTGCTCAGCTGCACCTCAAATGGGGCCCTCGCAGGAAAATGGGACTGAGTGAAGGCTGAGGCAGCTTCACAATGTAAATTGCTGAATTTCAGCACTTAGGACAAATTTAGAAAGTTCATCTCCTATTTGTGCCATACTTATTTTTTGGGGTTGTTTCCCCTTTTAATATAAAGGAGCTTCTTACCAACTTATTTCCCACCTAAAAAAAGTCCTGTAGAAGAAAAACCAGTGAAATGAATCCACATACAACAGAGTGCAAACCATTTACATTATGAAAGTTTTGATTATAAAATCTTACCTCATCACAATCTCCTTCAACCATAGCATAAATAGCTTTCTTAACCAAGTTTGTACCTGAAACACAGATTTCAGTAAGTGTCAGAGTTGCAGTGCAAAACAAAAATGCCAGTTTATATATGACTAATGTGTGCTACCTACATGACATGACACCTGGGGAAAGCAGGGAGGAAAGAAAAACAAGGAGTTGCAGTCAAGCTGCAGTCTCAAGTTTGAACACTAAAATAATCTGTGAAGTTATCCAGAGACTCAGCTCAAGTGCAAGATTCTTGTAACACAAGGATATTAGAAACTGGCTGCTCTGCTCAACATGGTGTTAAATATAGCTTTCCAAGATGTGATTCATTCCTTTTAGTTGCATTTGAAGTCAAAATCTGCTGGCATGTGCTTGAAGGACATTCATCTTCCATGGGAATTTCCTCTTACTAAAACAAATACTTGTATTAGTAACAGAACTTATGAAACCACTGTTTTTATGGCTCACTACCATTTGGGTTTGCTAGTATCTAATAATATTCTTGAAGCCCATCCCTTCCCCTAAGTCAAGCATTAGTTTAATTTTGAAATAATTATTTTTCATCTATTTCACCACGGTTCTACAAATGTAATATCCCTACCTGTCTGTAGAATTGAGGTGAAATTGAAAGTTGATTTCAAATTTTTTAGTGGAAAAAACTGCTGCTCAGTGAAATTGCATAAATCTCACTTCCATAAGAAGGCTATGGAAAAGTAAAAACAACCCCAAGGAATCTACAGAATGTTTTAAAATATTCTCAAAACTTTAATCAATAAAGATTTTCACTGAATGTGATGATAAAACTGTTCTACATTTAATGCAGGTCTCCAGACTAAGAGCACACTTTGAGAAACAGCAAGGTGGCAAACGTAGGAAAAAAGTCAACATATATAATGCTACAGTAAGCAAGGCTTTAAAGACAAATTCCATGTATGTATTTCTAATTTAACAAACTGACTAAAGTGAGGGAGAAGTCTTGCAGTGATCTTCATAATAACAGCATTAGCTCTTATTTACTTCTGAATCCAAGCACCTGCAATTAAATTATGGCAGACTCCTTCATGACTCAGCTAAAAGGAAAGGAGAGACAGTGATTCCTCAGTATCCTCTTCCTCTGCTCCACTACAGAAACCAACAATGGCTTTTGAATTGCACTGGGGAAAGAAAAAAATCTGCACATGCTTGAACAGTTGTGGTAATGTGTTTTTTTGGAGGGTTTTTTCTGGAAGAAAGCAAACACAATGATACATTCTGCAATGGATCACTGTATTTTTTGATTGCAAGTAATTTCTGTCTTTAATCACAGAAGCATGAGCTGTTCAGTGTGGATGAGTGGTGAAGCACAGTTCTAAGCTTTGGAGCTGACGTCTACATTTAGTTAAAAAAAAACCTTACACAATGTAATTTCACAATAACCAGCATGAAAAAATTAAGTTCCATAAGAACAGATATTTAATTAAGCCAACTTGGCTAACTGGAGTTAGAATGAAAATCCCTTCACCAGGGCAAAACTGATTAATGAGAAAGGGCAAACTCCCTGCCAAGAGTGATTTCTTTACCACGTACCTTCCCAACAAAACAGATCTCCATTTCAATCATTCAAGTAACAGTACACAGCTATTTTTCTTCCCTGATTAATACAATAATGAGCTCCATACATTCTCCCTGATGGGTAATATATGCATAATTTATAGGGGGAAGTCAGGAAATAAGTTCACTGTAAAAAAGGAGCCTGAACACAACATGGAAATACAGTGATGAGGGCACACATAAAACCACAAAGCAGTTCCCACTGTTATTTGGCAGTGGTAGAGGCAGAGGTAAGGGGCTGCTGCCTGCCTTTCTTTTTACCCTTATCAGATCCCAGGTGTGAACCTCACAGGGCATTTCAGGTTATTTTAACAAAATCAGAAAAGCCACTGGGGAGCTCGTGTGGTTGAGTAAGGCGAGGATGACACACAAAGCACCACATCCTGAAGTTCAGTTCAGCTTAAATCTTTATGACAGCTACAGTTATCCCAGCCAGAGAGGATTTAAAGAAGAAAGAAGAAAAAAGGCTATTCTTACCAATTCCTTTTCTTCTGTATTTGGAATCCACTGCTAACATGGCTATATAACCTCTGCGGAACATCTTTTTGTGCATATCCAGCTTGCAGACGATGGCACCTACACACTCCTCACCTACCATGGCCTTAAAGACAAACATACACGGATGGAATTCTCAGTTTGGGATCCACAGTGCTACCAAAAGCAGTAAACCACTTCATTTTTCACGTGAAAGAGCCACACAGAATTTGTTAAAGCTATGAAAAGGTAACGACGTAAATTTGAAAAGTGTTCCAAAAGTATTACTATGATTAAAAGACTTAATTGCTTTATTACCTTCCAATAAAGTTCCAGGAAAATTAACAACCAATGAATTACTCCTGGAGAGAACCACATTATCATTTCACAAAGTCTACAGGCAAGAACACGTGTGATTAAAAAGGGAAAATAAATAAATAAAAGGGAAAATAAATAAAATAAAAGACCAGGTTAAGGCATAAATTATCCTTTCATATGGGTTTCTACAGAGGAAAAATGTCCACTCCTGTTTTATAGTGCTCTGAATTTTCCTGTATAAGGGCTGTGCTAGATAACATGCTTAATTTTTGTCTGGTTTTAATGTCAAGGCCACAAAGGATCAGAGAAAAGTGTTGCTGCATTTAATCTTCAGACACTCGTTTTCAGTCATATGACACCCAGAGAACAAACAAAAAAGCACAGTTAATTTCACACATTTTAACTATTGGGGGATTTTGTTTGTCAAGAGCTATGCACTGGCAGTTAATCCCAGTGGCATTGTCACAGTAACCGTGGTCAAGGAGATGTAGGCATCCTGAAATATTAACAAGAAAAACCCCAAAAAGGAAAGGACCCAACTCCTCCTCAAACACTCAGCAAACCACTTGCACACCCACTGTGTTCACCAAAATTTTATCATGAGAGAAAGGAAAACTAAGTCATGTTAACTGAAGGATTAGGCAGCACAAGGGATTAATGACATTATAACCTGCAGCAGTAAAACTGAGTAATGCTGCAGAATGGGACAGCATCCAAAGGGAAAACAAATTCCTGTGCACTCAGGAAAGATGGGCAGAGATAAAAAGAAACTCATAACTTTACATATGGCTGTGTGAGTGGATCCACAGCCTTTGACAGACCTGCAGGGAGGACCAGCCTTGGGCTCAAGTGCAGCAGCTAAACCAGGACTACAGCACATGATTGGCACAAGCATGTGCTGCCACAAGAGCTGTAGATAATCCAAATTTACAACTCTAAGACATGTCAAATGAAAAGGACTTGCTAGAGCCAGCACTGCCAGGCCTCAGAGCAGCCACCTGTGAAGCCAGAGCTCACTGCTCCAAAGCCTGTGGTATAAACTCAACCACCTGAACCCTCGTGCACAGCTTGGAGGCTGAAGCTCCATGGACAGGAGATTCCTTCCTGCAGGTCATACTGCAGGCACAGTCTCTTCACCCCAAAAAGAATCAAGTCTTTGAGCATCTCCACCTGGATGTGGGTTATTAACCAAGTCAGCTGTCAACCAGGAGCTGCAGCAAAGGTGAAATGAAGCAGCCAAAAAAAGTATAAGCTGCAGTATCAAAGCCCTATGATACAGCATGATTATAACCCCATTTCTAATGTAGCTGAAGCAAATATAACTATTGCTAAGTTTTTATTTGGCAGGAAAACACATTTCAGCAGTATCCAAGAACAACCCTGAACAATCTAACGAGTGGTTTTTAAAATAACAAACAAAATCTCCAGCATGATCTAACTGGACTGAAACACAGAGCCTCTAAGCAGTCTTTTATTTGTTCCAAAACACAGGTTATTGCACAGAAAAGAGGAGCTGTGCCCATACTCAAACAGTGCATGCAAAGTTTCAGCTCAAGGCAAGTTCTGTATCTCGGCTCAGACCTGAGAAAAGCAGGGAGTTAAATAAAGAGTATCATCAGACAAACTGCTCAGAACATTGCTATAATTATGCAGAGTACCTAGATGTAATCTTATACCTCACTGAAAAAAAAAAAAAAAAAGCACACCACAAACTAGCATGTTATAATGTTATAGTTGTGCTTTGCCCTGGAGTGAACACGTGCAAACTGTTGATCCAAACAGTTATGTGGACAATTTTTAGGATATATTTATATATATTTATTTTTTTTCCATGCTTCAGGAGTAGTGGCAATCTAGACACTTCACATCTGAGCTCTTTCTTCATACCTTGACCTCTTTCCAGGGCACTTTTCTGAAAAGTTATATTCATGAATCATATATTTAAAATGCTAAATGAACAGCAAAGAATTTTGTTTCAGTGATCAAAGAAGCAAATACCCACTGGTTTTACCACTGCTGCCAGAGAGCTGAATAAAGAATGACTCTGTTACCAGTTCTCCAAACCCTTAAATCTACTTCTCTGTCTTAAGGCAGGTAAGTCTGGCAGTGAATCTACAGCTGTTCCATTCACAAAGGGAGTGCTGCATTTCCACCTCATTTAGAGGGATTTTTGTTGCCTTTCCTCTCCTTTCTCCTTCTTTTCAACCTTATCTAAAGCTAGAAATGAACCTGAACAAAAATGATGCAAAACTTTGCAACTTAATTTCCTGGAGAAGGTTAAACTGTGCGAATAAAAAAAAAAAAAAAACCCAGACTGAAATAGGGAGAGTTGTGAGGAGGGAAGAAAAGTAGCTCCCACACAACATCATTTAGGAAAAGATAACCATGGGCCAAATTTTCCTTTCAGGTATGCAAGAGTACTTCTAAACATGCAATTTTCTACAAACAGAATTCAGCCTAAGTCAGTATTATATATTATAAACTCCACAGAGTACTGTAAGATTTACTCCAATAGTAGGTTCTTAGTAGCAGGATTAACATACATGAATCCAAATCCAATATTTGCATCATCTTTGTTCCTATGAATAAGTTTAAATGCTTAAAACAAACAGATTTTAATATACTGGAAGAGCTGGTGGAGAAATGTCTGTAAATCAGCAAGAACATTACTTTTCATAGAATTAATCAATTTGTATTAATTTCATTATCAAAGATGGCATTATGTCTGTCAGCCACAGTCTGAGTATGCATTTAATATCCAGATCCTGTGAATTTTGTTTAAAGGAGATGAAAACAGCCAACTAGCCCCAAAAGGGAAATATTTTGCAATTCAAACACAGCAGAACCTGCACTGCTGCACTGCATTTTTCCTTTCACACCTGCACCAAAGTCCATCCCAAAGTATCCCAGGCACAGCTGGGTAGGAGCTGGCTCACATTTAGGGATCGTGTTACCGAGTGCCATTAGAGAATACACTCAGGGTAATGGTTTTAACCTCACTCTGCCACTTCAGCCACAGCTCTTCCCAGTTCCTGGCGAATCCCCACCTCCCTCTGCTTCCCTCCATGAACCTGGACAGCAGCAACTCCCTCCTGTGTGAGGAACAGTCCCTGGAATAGCTGCCCTGGCTGCTGTCACCTGCTCAGGTGCTGCAGGGACTTCAGTGAGAGACTGAAAGTGTGATCACTCCTAAAAACAAACTGGAATACAAAGTTTGCAAATTCTCCTTCAAAACTTCTTCCTACATCTGCCATGAGAACAGGAAGACTTCTCAGACAACCTCCTGACTTTTCTTCCTTTAAGCCCCAGGTCTTCCACAACTGAAGAACAGGGATGATGTCTTACAAGTCTTAATTTCAACACACCAAGACTCTTGAATCAAATCCAATTTCAAAAAATGCAAAGCATTAGTATAAAACAAGACTTAACTGCAGTCATTTAGGATTTACAACACATTTAAAACCACTTACATGGAATTAATAGGTTATTTTTAAACTTGTGAAAGTTTAAATTATAAATGCTGCTATAGCTGGTGGCAAAGTTAAGAACCCAATAAAAGCATAGATTTTCTAGATTTTTCTTAAAAGGCAGCTGAGTGGTACAGTGAATTACAGGAGAGGTTACAACACTCAGCCTTTTATTACATTTTTTCTTATCCAAACTCTGGCACAGAGCAAGGTTTCCTAAGCTCACCTCTCCCACGCTAAAGGATTTTGAAAACAATTTTCTGAAATATTTAATTTATCAGTCTGAAATGAAAGCTTCAGAACTTTAGCACTGCTAAGACTAGAAGCTTCAAAACCACTTTGAAAGAAAGCTACAACGTCGAAAATGCATTTACAATCCATCTGGGGACAAAGATGTAACACTGCTTAAAAATACTTCTCATGAAACACAAGATGCCCCTTGCCCCTTGTCATTCTTTGAGAGAGAAGTGGGTATCATTTGAGGAGAAACTGGGCTGACAGAACTTTTGAGAATAAGTAAAAACCAGGCATTTACTGGGCACCCACACCTAACACACAGGGCAAACCTGCTCTTCTGAAGACAGGCAAAACATGAGTTGAAGCACACAGCTGGAGTTTTACATCCCAGAATGGTTTGGGTTGGAAAAGACCTTAAAGATCATCACATTCCAAACCCCTGCCATGGACAGGGACACCTTCCACTGGAAGTTTATGGAGGAAAACGTTATTACCTTGCCACAGTCCAGAGAGTGCTGCAGTGGGACACCTCAGCACTGAGCAGTATTCCCAAGCTGCTACCCCTAAAGTCAGGATAACAGTTATGTGCATAAATTAGCTATTGAATTTAACAGGGTTTTAAGACTTCCAGTATCTCCAGGTCCTTTCATAGTGGAATATCAACTTCTTCTTTGAGTGTGCAGGTAGGAAGTGCTCTGAGCCTGAAAAACTGCTCAGTACTGACCAGTCAGGGTTGGTCTCTGCCTTCCCTCCAGCTGTGCACTCCCACCTCTTCTCTTGTACCAGTGCCTGGGACATCCTACAAGAATAGATTTGGAGCTCTAAACCAACAGAGCAAGACCCTAAAACAGCTAAATACAAACACATTTACAATTATATGCTGGTCAGAGGGGTATCTTTGCTCCCAAAATCACAGCAACACAGGGGCTGGCACAAGGCAGGAAGAGGGAGTTGAAGAGAAAGGGAAAACAAGCACCAGCCTGGGCTGCACCAGCCTTTAGAGCAACTGGGCAGCTTGGGAAGGCCAAACCAAAATTGAGCAAGTTTCAAATCCATGCAGTAAAGTTAATAATGTCCCCAGAAATCAGCTTTGCATTGTCAGAATAGGGAAATGATGGTTTAGAGGTTCATCAAATAACCCACCAGAAAGAGACAAGTGCTGTTTATTTAGGGGAAATACACATCCCATCTTCAATTTCAGTGGTGTCAGTCTTTTCCCCTCACGGGGAGAGGAGGGAGAGGAAAGGAAAGGTGCCATGACAGCACAGGGAAGACAGGTGAATGTGCCCTGGAAGAGTTTTCAAATGGTGATGGTGAAATTCAGCAAAGGAATTGGCTGAACCCTTGCAGATCTTTTTCCAAATACAGTCAAATCACAGGCTAACCCCCTCTTCCCAAAACACTCAAAACCCAGCCAAAACCTGAAAGCAAAAGGGTATGGGGCCACAATGCATTAAATCAAATGATTCTGTGAGATCAGGCACCAAACTTCACGTTCACCATCCTGACACTTGTTGCTAATTGAAATATGCAGTCCCTGACTGAAGATAAATATTTTAAAGTGATTTATTAGAGAGAAGTAGTTCAGGAGTCAATTAACTGCAGGAACAAATTATATTTTATAGATCAGAAAATTTTCAAGACATCCTCTAAGAAACAAACCTCAAAAATATTAAAACCAGTCACAAAAAACCCCAACCTCTCCACACATGAATTTGACTCAGCATGCTGCAAGATCTTCAAATAATTAAGCAGGTAACAATTTGCTGGCTTTAGACATTCACAGCCATATATTATTCTCTACACTTTTATGTACTTTACATTGTTTCACCTTTCTAAAAAAATGGCAAATACATTGAGTTCAAGAAAAGTTTTGTTGATTCTTTAGGGCTATCAAAAAATGAAGCTGTCACTACAAAATAAGCTTTCTTTCCCTTGAATGATATCTTACTCTTTAAATGCACTTATTAGAAATCATCTGTTTTAGTTCTCTGTCAAACAACTTGTCACTGCTCTTCTCACAACAAAATTCTCCACTTATTCCCTCACCAAAAAAACCCATAATGAGAGAAAGTCTAAACAAATGCATTGTGATCTAAGAGTATCCAACATTTCCTTGGCATTTCCAGGGCTACACCTGAAGCTGAAAGGATGGACTTTTGTAGTTCTGGAGTATTTTACTCTCAGTATGAGGTAAATCTGTCACAGGCAGAGCTCAGTGTTTGAACATCACTGTGCTCTGATCAGCATCCTTGTAATAGCAAACATGACTTTGCATCCAACAATGCTCTCCAATATTTTCATATTCTGTTTTGTTCCAGAAGGTCAACATTTTGCTTTGCTCAACTTCCTGTAATCCTACTGTATTCCCTCTGTACAGTTCTGAAAATGCTCCTATGAACCATATCAATCCTACTATAAATTCTAGCAGATCCTAAACCAGGAACATTCAGGAAGTTGAAGGCCAGATGGACTCCATTAGCCTCACCTCTTGTACCCATATTCTATCAAAATCTCAGATCTACCCCTCAACTGGAGGGTGTCCTGGCTCTGGCTAAATCACACCTTTCAGAGGGTTAATTAAAACATCAAGAGACAAGAATTCATCATTTTCTTTAGCAAGGAAGTGCCACAAACTCCCCTAAACGTTCTGTTTTGCAGCTGTGAGTGTTCCTGTGAGTAAATCAAGCACAGCCAAGCTCTTGCTATGCACGTACACTCCTCAGGCCAGCTTCTGCTCACTTTCCTTTACCTGTGGATGCACTGTCATCCTAAAAGCATGCAACTGAGACACAAAAAGTGCCAAACATTTAGGAAGGCAGGGGGGCAGCTAAACCAGCCTTTCAACAGTGCACTGGGAAGAATACAACACTAAATATGCTGTTAGTGCAGGGAGCCAACGAGAGAATTCCTGCATGCTGCGAGCACTCTCACACCTGTAAAAGCAACACAGCTGGACTTGTCCTTGTCAAAGTAAGCTCACAGATCAAAAAGTCTGCTAAACCTTTCACAGTGCCTCTCCACCTATCACTTAACATTCATGTGCCAACCCTGCTTCAGTCAGTTTTAAAACCATTGTGCAAGAATTAGCAAGCAGTTACAAGGCACTAGTGGACTAAGTACTTTCTTTTTGAAATCCAAGCTCAGGAACTGAGACAATCATAAAATGAGCTACCAAAGGTCACAAAAGTCAATGTCAAAACCAAGATTAGAAGCCCTGAATTCCTGGATCCTAGCCCTGTGCTCAAACCCTTTCCCCACCATTTAAAACATGTGTTAACAAATGTAGAACTTCGGGCACGTGCTTTACTTGTACCTGCACGGGTCACAGGGGGACAGGCATTTCCAAAAAACCTTGGCCTTACCCACAAAAAGACTATTAAAAGTATTTCCACAAACGCCAACCCTTCCATCCTCTCCTCCCCAGCCCCAAACCACTCCCAACTCCTGCCCTCCCTGCTCCCTCCGGCACTTACCAAAAAGCAAAGTTGTGGCCAGTTGTGGATAAAATACCTATAAGTGTAAATGGAGTAGGGTTCAGACAGATCTTTGGTGATCAGTCTCATGATATCGGGCATCTGCAGCTCTGACTCATACTGGACGTATCGTATCGTTAGGTCCTCCTCGGGCTGACAGTCCGTTCCCGAGCCTTTCAAACTGCACGCTGCTGCTAAGGACCCGGAGAGTAGCTGCAGGGACTCCTCCTCCTCCTCCCCTCCTTCATCCCCCTCCTCCTGCTCTTCCTCCTCCAAGCCAGTCTCTCCTGCCAGCCCATTGCGGGCTGCAGTCTTAGCAGCAGCAGTCGTGGTTGTGGCAGCAGGCTGGCTCCTGTCCCCTTTAGCCGGGGGAGAAGGAGGAGGAGAGGGTGCAGTCCTTCCCTGGGGAGGGAGGTGGTTGGCGTGGGGGGACGAGCAGGGCGCTGCGCTGGGGGGCGACGGCTGCTGCTGTCCGGAGCCCATTGTTTTGCTGGCTCGCTTGTTCTCCAGCCCCTCGGGGGCCGCCCCTGCCTCCGAGCCGAGGATCTTGCCCTTGAGGGAGGCCCGCAGGTGCCGCAGCTCGGGGCTGATGAGGCCGTTGAGCTGGTGGTTGTGGTGCGGGGGGTGGTGGTGGTGGCGGTGATGGTGGCGGTGCTGCGGGCCCCCCTTGCCGCCGTCGCTGCCTCCTCCTCCTCCTCGCTGCTGCTGCTCCCGTCCGCCCGCGGGTCCCTCCTCTTCCTCCTCCTCTTCGGCCTCCTCGTCCTGGGCGCCGGTGCAGGCGGCGGCGGCGGCGGCATAGGAGGCGGCGGAGGAGGAGGAGGAGGAAGCAGCCCCCCCTCCTCCTCCTCCTCCGGGGAAGGGGGAGAGCGTGTCCCCCTGCGGGGACAGGACGCTGCTAGGCCCCGGCGGTACCTCGGCCATATCCTACGGGAGAGACCGACACAAACTCACCGGGGAGGAGGAGGAGGAGGAGGGCGCCAAACCTTCCGGGGGCGCCGGGAAGGTGGGGGGGAGGCGCGGCGGCCTCACGGGCCGCGCTCGGCGGGGAGCGAAGTGGGGGGGGCGGGAACAAAGGCACGCACGGTGCCCGGGCCGCCCCTCGCCGCCCCGCCGCCCCCTGTGGCGGCTGCCCCGCTCCCCCCGCGGGCGGGGCCGTTCCCGGAGCGCTCGGGGCCCGGGGTCCCCCCGCCGCCGCCACTCACCGCCGCGTCTGGGCAGCTCCCGCTCCGCCGCCGCCAAGCGCGGCCGCCGCGGCCGTAAAACCCGCGGCCAGTTCCTGTCGGCCCTTACGACGCTTCCTCCCTTGGCGGCGGTGCCTGGCGACGGCGGGGCGGGGCCGGAGCCCTCAGACGGGACGCGGGGCGGGGAGCGGGGAGGGGACCGGGACAGGGAACGGGATCGGTGACAGAATCACGGAACCAGCTGGGCTGGAAAAGCCCTCTGAGGTCCTTGAGCCCAGCCGATGGCCGAACACATCCAGTCTTTCACAGGCTCGGAGTGTCCTGAGCTGGCAGGGCCCGCAGGGATCGTGGAGTCCCACGCCCGGCCCTGCACGGGACACGCCGACAATGCCGCCCTGTGCCTGAGAGCGTTCTGAATTCTGTCACGTCTGCGGCTGTGCCCATTCCCTGCTCAGCCTGTTCAGAGCCCAACACCCTCTGGGGGAAGAACCTTTCCTGATATCCAACCTAAACCTGTCGTGCCTCAGCTTCCTGCTGCTCCCTCGGCTGCTGTCACCCCGAGTGACCAGATCAGCCCGTGCCCTGCCTCTCCTGAGGGAGCTTTGGCTGCTCTGAGCTCTGACCTCTGCTCAGCTGCACAGACCAAGTGTCCTCATGAGGCCCCTCAGACCCTTCCCCATCCCTGTGGCCTCCTCTGGATCCCGTGGAACAGCTCCGAGTCTTTTGCTTTCATCACCTCCGGGGATGGTGACTCCAGCACCGCCCTGGGCTGTCCATTCCAATGTCTGATCACCCTTCCCGTGAGGAAATTCTTCCTGACATCCAACCTGACCATCCCCTGGCACATCTTAGAATATGTCCCATTGTCCTGTCTGTTCCCGGGATCCCCCTGGCTGTCCCCTCCTGGCAGGAGCTGTGCAGAGCCACGGTCCCCCCCGAGCCTCCTTTTCTCCAGGCTGAGCCCCCTCAGCTGCTCCTCATCAAACTTGAGCTCCAGACCCTTCCCCAGCTCCATTCCCTTCCCTGTTCCAGTCCCTAAATGTCACCTTGGATGGAGGGACCCAGGGCTGGCAGTGTGGCCTCAGCAGTGCCCAGCACAAGGGACAGTGGCTGTCTGCTCTGGGCTTTGTTTATCAGCCCAAGCCTGGGCAGGCACAGGCGCTGCCCACAAGGACGTTCCCAGCTGTGTTTAGTCTGGGGACAGGGGCCAGGGGTGTTTGGGTGACACTCTGTTGCAGATCCAGAGCTCAGGAGTTGTTGCTTTTCTTTCCAAAAGCTGCACGAGGGATGTCATTCCTGCCTGGATAAGGCTTGGGCTGCGTTGTGTGGCTGGTAACAGTGGAAATTCAGCAAGGCTGAAAGACACTCTCTGCTGCTCTTCTGCCTCACATAAATTCTTTTAAGAATTATACTGGATACCAGAGCAACAAACAAGTCCTTTAGATGTGAATATTATATTGATGTGCACACAAGGCCCCTCAAAATGCAAAGAAATTGTGGGTTTTTTTCTTTTTCTCATATGAAGCTTTTCAGGGCCCTCTTAAGACTTGCTCATTTTCATTTGCTACAGTTATTTTTCAAGGAGATGACAGGTCTGGGCTTAAAAGTAAAATCCAGGAACTGCTCTACGTGTCCTAACAGGACTCTTTAATTAGGAAGAATAAATAGTGTGGAGTTACAGCCTCCTGTTTATTAACTGCTTAATGCTGAAGTGGGAAAAGAGTAAAAGACCTTGTTGGAAATTGAGGGAATTAAAGGCTTTTATTCAAAGTAATTACTTATGGAAAGACTGAAATTTTGATAAAGAAATGGGTATCTGAATCCTTTTATATTTAATTTTTCTTTTCCAAGTCTCCTTTGCCCCATCCCTGGAAGTGCCCAAGGCCAGGTTGGATGGGGTTTGGAGCAGCCTGCTCTAGTGGAAGGAGTCCCTGTCAGTGGCAGGGGGCTTGGAACAAAAGGATTTTTAAAGTCCCTTCTAACCCAAATCATTCAGTGATTATTCTACGATTCAGAAAGGTTAATTCATATTATCTCTATCCATGTTGGCTTTGTGCTCTGCAGATCTGTTTTTAACCACTTCTCTCTGCTCCACAGAGGTGCTCACTTACAAAACTGTGCTCAAAGGCTTCCTTTTTATTTTTGTGTGTGTTTTAGCAGGCACCAGAGGACCCTTGTGGGCCCGATGGAATTGCTCTGGCACAAGTTCACTGGCCTGGGGTAGTTTAAACAGAAAGAACAAACAAATGTCAGTGCAGGACTGGACCAAATTCTGCTCTCACTTGCCATGTAGCTGCTATGGGAGAGTCAGAGCCATGTGTCAGGGTGATGTCTGTGTGAAGAAGACAATCCAGGCCAGGAAACATCATTAGAGAGGGTGAAGATGATCTAAATGATCATGGTCTGCTGGAAGGTGTTCCTGTCCCTGGCAGGGGGGTTGGAATGGGAAGATCTTTAGGGCCTCTTCCAACCCAAACCATTCCACAGTTCTATGATTTTCTTGCAACTGCTGAGATATGCTCAGTCTAAGTTCCTGCTATGCTTAAGGTTGTCTTAATTCTCCTCTCTGTTATGAAAACAGCTGCTTTGAAAATGCATGTTCTCAACCAGAAGCCACACCTTTTTATTTTTCCCCTTAATTTTAGGTACATTTTGCTCCTTAGTTTTCCTCTCACTGCTTTCTGAACATCACTCAGCCCTGAGCACACTGCCCATCACAAACCACATGCTCTGAGGCAGGGATGGGGCTCAGACGCAGACCTTGCTGTTTGTTGTTCTTTGTTCAGTAACTCTGTGACCTTGGAGGTGTCCATGGTTAATTTGTTAAGAAAACAGCGACTTAGCAAACTTTGGAAACTTAGTTCCAGTATCTGTGAAAAGAAAGGGAGCTGCTGGTGGCCTTCCTCTTCTCTTCAGTGCTTAAGGCAAGTACCTACATTGGATTTAATTTCACAGTTGCTCTCAAGGTATTATTATAATAGAAAATTATACATCTAAACTTGCCTTTGTTCCTTGTGGTAACAAAGTGACATCCCAGCTGCACCAGAAATAAGGATGCTGGGGGCAAAATACTGAGCTGTGCTTAGTCTGGGCAATAAAATATAGGAGCAGGTCAGTGTTTAATAAAGAAGTTGTTGGGTTTTTTTCTCAAAGAAGGGGAAGTAGTTTGACATGAGTGTGTAACATGGAAATAGAACTGAAAAGTTCTCTGTTGTTCTTCACTTATTAACAAACATTCTTTTAAAAAGTTACTCCTAATGGTGACTGCATTACTTGAGCTCTGAGCACACCAGCAAAGCAGTAATTAAGTGTATTTTTCCTTTCAACCTGTCCAAATCAAAAATAAATGATATGTTTTGGAATCTGCTTTTTCACATGGGCAAGTAAAATTTTTTGTGGGACTTGTCAGTGCTATGGCCCTGAGGGTATCCCCCTTCCTGGGGTTTGCCCATTTGGGGTCAAGATCAGCTTTGAGATTGATGCCTTGTGAAGGCTGACCTAGAACAGAGACAGGTCAGGGTTAAAGAATAAAGCAGGGATTTATTCAAAGGATCTCCTCAATGGATCCACCTTGGGCAGCACAAGAGCCCAGCCAGGGCTGCAGCCAAGATGAACCCAAATGGTCCCAAAATGGATGACAGCTCACGGGGTCTCTCACTTTTATCAGTTCTGGTCCATGTGCACATTGCAGTTCATTGTCCAATTCCAGCTCCAGCCCATCAAGTCCCATCCTTGTTTTTCTCTCTCCAGCCCATGAGGTTTGTGCTCTTGGGCTGAGATTTGGATCATTTGTCCTTGGTCCCCAGCTGGAGCAGGAATTGTTTTGTCTCCCTGCTCTGTGCACAGAGCTCACCATCCCCTGATGTGAAGCTCAGAACTCCACACTAAAGCAGCTCAGAATCTGAAAAATAGAAAAGCTAAAACCTGGGGCATCAAGATAGGTCCAGCATGACCATTCCTGCTTCACCTTGTGCTCCCCATGGACTTTTTGGGCCATCTGGGCTCTCAGCTGAGCCTGGTCACTGTCACCAAGGTGTCTCTGCTTGCTTTGCTCAGCTGTGTTGGGCTGTGCCTGTGACAGCCAGGCCACCTTGGTGTCCTCACCTGCTCCACCCCTCCCACCTCATTGCCACGCTCAGTCCCCAGCTTCCCTTCCCTTCTGGAGCAGTGTCCAACTCTGCCATTTCCTGAGAGCGAGCCCACACCTCGCCATGGTGAGCAGGAATCCTGCACTGCACTGATTCCTTTTTTTATTTTTTTTTTTTTTTTTTTTTGTGATGCTTTCAAAATTTAGAGACAGGCACTGTGTGGGCAAAGATGCTGTCATTCCACTGAAGCAGCCTGGCTCTGATCCTCTGCAGCTCCAATAAATACAAGAGAATAGCAAAGATGTACCTGCAGATCTGAAATTTCTGCACTGAATTCTGCATTTGGAAAGGAAATGCAACGTGTGCTGGCAGAGGTGGGAATACCAGACCTGTCCAAGTTTCTGAAGCAGCAAATAGATAATTTAAAATATAAAAAATTAGAATTTTTTGTAATTTAAAATTATAACATTTAATTTATTCTAAATTCTAAGAATTTAGAATATAAAAAACAACACAGTGTTATAGGCACAGGGAATGAGGAAATCAGGAAAACCAAAATGTGTGTGTATGCTTCAAATAGTGTTGTTCAGTTCCCACTGAGGAAAGTGGTTGTTTGAGGGCAGGGCTGGTGCTCAGGGAGGGAATCTGCCATGTAAAAGAGGTTAATGGGGAAAGGCTGCGGTTTGGGAAGTGTTGTAACGAGAGAAATCACAAGAGGGGAGTGTTGTACAGCACTCCAGCATCTGCAATTCCCACAGCACTGACCCCGTGCCATAATCCAAGTTTGTTTTACCAGAGGAAGATACAAAAGTCACCGCCTGCATCTCTTTTGACAGCAGGAACATTTTTTTTCCGTGTGAGACAAGGATTTGTCATGTCAAGATCAATAAGCAGGAGAATTGCCATCTCCACCTCTGTAGCTGTGTTGAAACCAAGTGTGAAACGACAGTGAGAGAGGTTTGACAGGTTAAAAAAAAGGAATACAAACCAGAGATGTCTGAAGGATGAGTCAATCATGACAACATTTATTTCATTTCTTGGTCTTACCTCTTTTTTCACCC